GGGAAATTGGTCAATATCCTTGCAACATTTTGAGGGTGAATTTCAGTGAGTTGAGATGAATAATGTAAGTGTTTTGGTCAAACATTGGACTTGGATTCCTGGTAATATGGATTATTTGTACAAGATGAGAGTTCAGCTACTTATGAACTAAATCTTCTATTCTTACTGATAAATGTGATACCCTTCCTGTCATGTGTTAGGCCGTGCTTAAAAGTTAGTTGGTAAAAGCAGTTAAAAGAGCCAAATTTAAGCATTGGCAAACATTGCGTTAGCCAATTAGCTCAATTACAATATGTTTGTTAATGTGGATTAAAATTGAAAGTTTTTTAAGGAAGATTATAAAATGTTAAAATTATGCACATTATTTGTCAAGTGGAGATTTCTTTTGAGCTAACTTATGATTTCTTCATATGCTGGAAGAAAGTCGAAGTAGATGAATGTCATGCCAATAGTTAATTTCATAGCTAAATTCGATAGAAATTCCGTACAATTAATTTTGTTCTTCCATTTAGATTGAAGACCTCAAACGCTTTTGCAAACTAGGCAATCGGATCCCAAGTTACCCAGAGAATACATTTACAATGGCATTGAAGTCATAGCCGGTACAAATCTGAAGTATACTGATTATGATCTATTTATATAATCCAATATAATCTTCAATCAAAGCAGGTTTCATTTTCCATTAAAAATCCCACAAAATCAAAATCCAACATTTTTACTTACACTACATCACTCACTACATGCGCAATGCACATGCATTCACTAGTAATTAATAAAAGCATAGACGTGTGCAATAAATAGCAGCAATTAACATCTAACCTATAACTACACAATACAAGACAAATATTCAAGTTTGGAGACTCACGTTTCATCCTCAATTTGTCATTTTATTTTTGGCATCAGCATCTCCCCAATCTAAAACACAAGCAGCTAATAAGGAAGGAAATCAAGACTGCAAATTTTCTATTCAAATAACCAACAAAATCTAACATAGATTATTATGATCAAATTGAACACCAAACTCTCTATGACGATGACTTAATCTCAGGCTTTTTGCAAAGAATCATGTGCATAGGAGTGAAAATTCCCGACTCGCCACCTCTAGTCAGGTAATCAGCAGTGACGAAAAGCATTTCGTGCACATCAACCACGCCTTTAGGAGCAATCCCTACCCAAGCAAGAATCGTAACTAAAATGTGATTCCTCCAATATGCAATCCTCCCCATTTTAAGCCTACTCCACCATGGATTTGCAGGTGGCTTGGCTAAGTCCTTCTCTCTTATTACTTCAAATCCCACCTTTCTCGCAACCTCTGCGATATCCTTGTAACTCCTTAGCCCGGGTAGTGCATCGCCTCTCTCAATTCCCTGGATTACTTCCAGGTGTTCCGGGTCGCCCCCACGGTACAATTCAGTGGTCACCCATTCATACGAGACATACATGGATCCGGGCTTTAAAACCCGGTAGATCTCGCTGTATACATCTTCCAGTTTTGGTGCATGGCAAGTGGCTTCAATTGAATAGGCTCCGTCGAAACTGTTATCACCGAAGGGCATCTCGAGGAAATTGCCGCACACGACTTCGCATTGTTTATCAAGGCCGGCCTTCTTGTTGTGTGCCCTCGCCCGATTTACTTGATATTCGTTAATGGTGATTCCGACTACATTAGCCCCTGAATGGGCTGCAATCGCCCGCATCGGACCACCTACACCACACCCCGCATCAAGAATACGAGCGCCCGGCTTCAAATTTAAGAGATCCACGGCCATTTCTTCGTGGATGCGAGTGGCCTCTCGGTGAGATTTACCAGGAATCGATGGCGAAAAATGGAAAGATTGGCCCCAACCCCACTCATAAATATCAGTCACAAGATTATAAAAGGTGTCAACGAAGTCGGGCACCTTCTCGGTTGTCTCGATTTCTTTGGGACGGCGGAAAAAGGACCAATATTGGTCGTAATTGTCCTGGACTTTCTCCTTAGCTATGGAACCGCCAGAGAGTTGAACCGCATGCTTGCCCTTCTGTTCGGCGGATCCAAGGATGCAAACAAACCAGTAAAGACCACCAGCTAAAAAGGCGGCAGTGCAGAGAAGAGTAATAGAATCCATTGATGAAAGAAGAAAGATGAAAAGAGAGTGAGATGTGCAAAATGCGGAGTGAAAGGGGCTATAGATATTTTTCAATGTGTCTAGGGTTGGTGTGGGATTGGTATCGAGGATTCCAATGGAGAGATTTAGTTAGTGTCAATCGCGTCACTACACGTATGAGGGAGTGGGTGGGTGTAGGGCTCTTGGATGACAGGAGATTCAAGATCGTGATTGATAATAGGCATGTGTGATCCAACGGTGGATAATCCACAAATGGTATTACATTGTTCAAATCGCGATATTTCGAATTCTTAAATATTCAAATTTCATTGGCTAAAGCGGCAAGTGGATAAGAGAGAAATAAAACGTATGGACGAAACCAATTAACATTCAAGAAGTTTTTGAAATTTGATATGTCATGATTTAAATGGATAATAATATAATGTTTGTGTATAAGATGTGAATGATCCATAAAGGACTAGATAATAGTTAAAATCACGATTGAATTTTAAACTATTTAAGTTTATCTCGAGCGTTGAGTGGCTACGAAAGAAATAAAGTAGGTGTATAGACCCAATTGACATTCAAGATGTGTTTTGAGATTTGATGTCTTGATTTAAGTAGATAATAATCTCACTATGTATATGATTCCATCCACAATGGATGATCCATAAATTATAGGCCCAATAAATCGCAATATTTTGAATTTAAAATTTTGAAATATTTAAGTTACGTTATCTCAAGTGTTGGGTGGATAAGAGAGAAATAAATTGAGTGGATGGATACAATTGACGTTGGAGATTTGTTTCGAGATTTGACATGCAACGAGTCAAGTCAATAATAATGTCATGTATATAAGACCATCCAACTAAAAGTGACCTAATAAGTTTATTTTATACAATTATTCAAAACTATAAAACGATAGTATTTAGTTGTTTCTCGGATGAATTATGGTATAAATTATTGCATTTCGTGTTGAATAGGTAAAATTTAATAACGGTACAAGAAATTGAAGGAAATAAGCAAAAGTTACCAAAATTAGAGAAAATGGGCTAAGTGTAAGAGGTCCAAAGTTCGGGAAATAAAGTGCAAATACTCAAAAGTTGTGTCGGACCTCACGATAAAGATTCAAGAGTTCTTAGAGTCAATTGAATAAAGAAAGGCATCAGGGTGATTAAATATAATCAAATTATGATCACACATCAAGTTCCAATCAAAGAAATGTATGCATCGTTTTTAGGCTCATATTGAGACCCATTTTTGACATAGCAAATGATTGAATTTGAAAATGGTATCTGAAACAAAGTTGTATCCCTTTGAGTTAGTTTGCCAGTGCATCTTGAATCACCTTGATCGGATATCCGGAGAAAAATTATGATGAAAATACTGAAAGTTGTGCAGTGCGATCGAATTGACGACAGCGTCCAAGCGCGATCCCGCGAGCGCTATGTTTCTAATTTTTTTCGAAAGTCAGCGCTTAGGCGTTGCATGCGTGGCACTTAGGCCCTACTTGAATTTATTCGCAGCACTTAGGCGCTGCACCAGGATTGTTTAGGGCGCGTTTTTGAACTGTTTTGAAATCCATAAAAATCCCACTTTCTACACAAATGGAGGAGGCACCTATAAATACTTCTTTCTCACACTTTTGGAAGATTCTTCACACATTGAGAGACAAGATAACATAATTGGCGAATCAAAATAGAAGAATTCAAGAGAACAAAATAACAAGCAATTCAAGGGTTGAAGTATAAATTGGAAGGGGAAGAAGATCTTGGTGCAAGATTGATTTCTTATTTTACATTCTTATTTAAAATTCGGTGATCTTGTGTGGATTTTAATCATGTTCTTAATGCTTTGAGTTTTCTGGCCAATTATTCAATGATTTCGTGAACAATAATTG